CTAGCATCCTGCATGTGTTGGGGACCAATGGTTGTGCCATTGATCTCAATAGTAAAGTCATGGGGAGAGGATCAGGGAGGAGGAAATATTACAAGCTCAGTTTTAGAAATATTGAGTTTCAGGTGATGACCTCAATACTGATATGTTGCTCAGTAAATTTGTGATACGTAAAGAGATTGAGTATGTGACTTGGGGAGTCGAGAGATAGATCTGGGTGTCATCAGCACAGAGGTGGTATTGGAAGCTGTGGAAGGTTCTCAACTGGCCCAGGGAAGAGGTATATAGAGAGAAGGGGTACCCCAAGGGTCCATCCCTTGGCTTCTACTCAACAGAAAGAGGAGTGGAAGAGGTGGTGTTCTGTGTGACACTGAAAGTGCGGTGAGATATGTAGGAGGAGAACCAGGAAAGAGCAGAGTCATGGAGGCCAAGGGAGTGGATTTTGTTGAGGAGGAGTGGATGGTCAACTGTCAAAGGCAGGAGAAACGTCTATGAGTATAAAGTACTGGCTGTTGGTTTTAGCAGTTAGTAGGTCTTTGGTACGTTTTTAGTAGGGCAGGGTAGGGTTTCAGTGGAATGTTGTGGACGGCAGCCAGACTGTAGGGGATCAAGAAGGTTGTTGTCAGTGAGGTGGCAACTCATACGGTTGTGGACAAAAGACGTTCAAGAAGCTTGGAGGCAAACAGGAGCAGAGATATAGGTCTTAAGTTATTCAGACAGGTGGGGTCCAGTGATAGTTTTTGTATGTATAGGGGTGACCGTATACTAATGCCTTCCTATGGCCCCAAATGAGATGTGTAGCCAAAAAATGTTTTGCCATACTTTTCTCGTAAAGAATTATCACAAATTTTGAATTGCTACCATATCAGGAGTAGATGGGAAATTTTTCAGTAGGTGCTCTAGTTCTTAGGACAGCTGTTTTTTTCCCACTTTGGAGAGATTACCTCTCACTGCTGCAGCTATGGAACAGGAATTGAGGAGAAATCTCCCTGATGAGACAAAGATGGCAAGAAAAAACGTAAAGGGGGGGGGGGGGGGGGGGTCTGTCCTCTCTTCAAATCTGTCCTTAAGTTTCTAAGTAGCCTGGTAAAAGTGTTACATGCTATATTGTCTGATGGTTAATTGCAATCAGCCTGATGTCACCCATCTTGAGCTTTGATTAATCAGAATAATAGATTGCTGGTTTGTGCACTTTACATATAGTGTTTGTCGTTCTTAACAACCCTGAATGCAACAATTCAAGTAAAGTGCTTTTGTGGGGTTTGTGCTATTTCACTAGACAAGCTCTGATCCTGGCAGGCATTATTTAAGGAACTAGTTTACATCCACCTAGCAGGAACAAAATATAGTACAGTTGACATAAAAAAAAACCCTTATGGTTGCCTGCTGTTTCTAGGGAGTTCTGTATGTTGATGCTTCATGAATTATTGATAATTCCTCCCTCAGCCTGTAGATCAGATGAATATTTATATATGTTTCTTTATTCTGATAACCACAAAGTGTATCAGTGTAAGCTGTGCACCTTTTTAATATAGATGGTGTTTGCCTCAAGTATAGACTGCAGAGCAAAATATGCAGCAAAGTTGGAAGAAAATAGAGGAGTTGAGCAAGCAGATGGGGGTGGCAGAGGGCCAGCTCTAATTCCCAAATTCAAGACACTTTGGAATGCTTCCATTGTTGCCATCATTACAAGGCGTTTACAATTTTTCAACATTTTAGGAACACCATAAATCAAGATTGCAATGGAAAGGTATTTCTTAAAGGCAATCTAATGCCATAGCATACATTGTTATTTAAAACATTGTCATTGTAATAGCAAACAATAGCTAGATTTGACTATCCAATATACATTATGAGAACAAAGGACATCCAATGGGCTACACTCCAAACAATCCACTTTACTTTATTGAACCAGGATAAACCCGATACAGACAGTGGAAATACAGTGGGGGACTGGCAGGTAAACGCATTTCACGCTAAAGACAGCGCTTATTCATTAGGATAATGACTTCATTCCAGGGGTAATGAGTAAGCGCTATCGTTAGCATGAAACGCATTTACCTGCCAGTCCCCCACTGTATTTCTACTGTATTGGTTTTATCCTGGTTCAATAAAGTGGATTGTTTGGAGTGCAGCCGATCGGATGTCCTTTGTTCTCATCTATGCAGCACACGAGCTGGGCTAGCACCTACAGGAGGAGTTGTGCTTGGAGATTGAGAGTCTCGCTACCTTGAGCAGTGTTAAACCAATATACACTGTATTGCCAAAAGTATTGGGACACCCCTCCAAATCATTGGATTCAGGTGTATAAAATTAAGCACCTAGGCATGCAGACTGCTTCTACAAACATTTGTGAAAGAATGGGTCGCTCTCAGGAGCTCAGTGAGTTCAAGTGTGGTACAATAATAGGTTGCCACCTGTGCAATAAGTCCCTCCATGAAATTTTCTTGCTACTAAATATTCCACAGTCAACTGTTAGTGGTATTATAACAAAGTGGAAGCAACTGGGAACAACAGCAACTTAGCCGTGAAGTGGTAGATCGTGTAAAATGACAGAGTGGGGTCAGCGCATTCTGAAGTGCACAGTGTGCAGGAGTCGCCAACTGTCTGCAGAGTCAATAGCTAAAGACCTCCAAACCTCATGTGGCCTTCAGATTAGCACAACAGTGCATAGAGAGCTTCGTGGAATGGGTTTTTCATGGCGGAGCAACTGCATCTAAGCCTTTCATCACCTAGTGCAATGCAAAGCATCAAATGCAGTGGTGTAAAGCACGCTGCCACTGGACTCAGCATTGGAATTCTGCTCTCTGGAGTGACAAATTACTCTTCTCTGTCTGGCAATCCGATGGACGTTTCTGGGTTTGGATGTTGCCAGGATCTTTAATCAGTTTATATTGTAGAAATTACTTCTCTGAGATTCCTAGGGAGTAGTAGAATGTGGCAGAGTATTGAACATTTTTTTTTTCTGAGACCTGTGGCATTTTCCTTGTTTAGTTGGACTGCATCAAAGTGAACTAGACTTTGGGTTACAGTATATAGATAACACTGGAGGAATCTTGGAAGAGCATTTTTTAGTATAGTAAGAATTTAAACCCTTTGATTAACCTTGTCTTTCACATCAAGGCTGCTTACTTTATCAGTTAATAGTAGACTAAATATTAAAATGCCCACTTCAAAAGGCTTAGGTGAACATGAATATATAAAGTTTGAATTACTAAAGGAATTGAGAATCTTTACTCAGTAAATTTTAGCTGCATTAGCATTGCAAACGAAATCACCTGCGAATGGATAAAAAGACAGGAGTGTCGGTATAAAATGATTGGATGATTGTAGTGAATCTTCACACAAATTATTTAATGTAGACCTGTAGAATAAAACAATCAGCAATATTAGAGCAACAGCAGTTGTACAATAACAGTGTTATACATAATTTGTACGCCCTATAAAAAAAAATGGTATTAAAAATAAGGGTATTGCTAAAAGTGTTTTTTAGTATGATTGTGCCATAGTTAGCTACTGCTAACTCCTTAATCAAAGATGGCAATGGTATTTGCCTGACTGCATTGTGCCAAGTGTAAAGTTTGGTGGAGGGGGGGTTATGATGTGGGGTTGTTTTTCAGGGGTTGGGCTTGGCCCCTTAGTTCCAGTGAAGGGAACTTAAGGTGTCAGTATACCAAGACATTTTGGACAATTTCATGCTCCCAACTTTGTGAGAACAGTTTGGAGATGACCGCATAAAGGTCCATAAAGGCATGAATGAATGAGTTTGGAGTGGAGGAACTTGACTGACCTGCACAGAGTCCTGACCTCAACCCAATAGAACACCTTTGGGATGAATTAGAATAGAGACTGCGATCCAGGCCTTCTCGTTCAACATCAGTGTCTGACCTCACAAATGCTCTTCTGGAAAATGGTCAATCATTCCCATAGACACACGCTTAAACCTTTTGGACAGCTTTCCCAGAAGAGTTGAAACTGTTACAGCTGCAAAGGGTGGGCCAACTCAATGTTTAACCCTCCGGACTAAGACTGGGATGACATGGGTTTGTACATTTTTTTATAGTTTTTTTTTTAATTTTGTAATGTAAAGCCAAGTACTCTGGTGAGTGTGGAGGTTTTTCCTTTAATCGTCATGTTGGTGATGATCGATCCCATCTATATTCAATATTGGAGCACAACGGAGTACTGTGGTTTTGTTTTTTAGTGCTCTGACTGCTGTAATTAGTTCAATGGTTTCTGTAAAGCAGTGTCAAATATTTTGGTGCTATGTAAGGGAGTAAAGTGAGTAACTTTTTTTTCTAAAAGATTTAGCTGCCTCAGATCAGTTTTACCTCTTGGCCTTTCTTTTTATCCAAAAGAAACTTAATGGTTCAAGTTTTTTAGGATCATCTAGAGAAACATGTAAGAAATTAAAGTATAACTAAAAGCAAACCTTTTTTCCCCCCTGTTTTTAATTGAGTGGATAGGGATTAGTATGCTTGTCAGTTTTTTTTTTTTTTGCTGTCTGTGTCTATTAGGATAATGCATCCTCTGTTTGTCCTGTTTACCATCAAAAGTGAAAGTATAGAAAAATCCCAAATTTTGGGTTTGCGCCATAAAAGTGATATAGGAAATTTTCCAATGACGACGCTAGTTCTGGTGAGCATGGTAACACCTCAGGATTCCCTCACTTTAGAGGGATTTACTGTCACTTCCCATTCTGGCTATGGGATGTGAAGGGAAATCTCAACTATAGGACACAGATGGCAAAAGAGGAAAAAAAGCTAATAGTTTATAACCCGCCCTTACTCTATCCAAAATGAGGAAGAAAGTTTAGTCATTAACTTTGGTTTCCTCAAGTATGTAACGGCAGTCCAATATGTGATAGTTATAAAAAAAATGATGATCCCTGAGAAAGAATGCCCTTTTTATGCACTGTTCTATAGTATGGATTACACATCTGCTTATAAGCATTATTATGATTCATATTTCTTACACTGTATGCTTTTTTTTTTTTTTTTTAGCATTATGTCCGTATTAAGTAACAAATGTGGATTCCAGCTTCAGTATCAAATGATCTTTTCTGTCTGGCTGCTTGCATTCAGTCCTCAAATGTGCGAGTATTTACGAAGGTACAACATTGTACCAGTGCTTTCTGACATCCTTCAAGAATCAGTCAAAGAGAAAGTAACGCGGATCATTCTAGCAGCTTTTAAGGTAACAAACTCATGCAATGCTGGATTTTCAAATGTTTGTGTTGCTTGAAAAATGTTTACTCACAGTGCATTCTTATACATTGGAAACAAGTGACGAACAGTTGATATTTTAGTTTATTGCTCAGCAAGATGCTCCTTTTTATGTGTTAGGCTATGGACAAATGTACCTTCAGTTGTTCCAGAAAATGAAAGCTGCAGATCTCTAATACTTTCTTAAATTTTTTTTTGCTTTTTGCTTAAATTGAATACCAATCAAATTTACTGTTGAGGTGTATGTTATGAGTCGATCTCACGATACTTATATGAAGAATGATTGCAAACAAGGTTTTCTTGTAAATCACTTGAATTGCTTAAAATAAATCTTCCAACATGAAGTTTTCCTGGGCTCTCGCCACCAAACTGGGATGGATGATTCCCTATCACCTGATTGCTGTGATAGCTTCTGATTGGCTATCACAGTGATCAGTCACTGTACAGCCTGCCCATTTTTTTTTTTCCCCCTCCTTTGCAGCTGTAGGCCTGACTGGTACATCGCAATGCAAATGCACACTGGCGCCCCCCTGTGATAACGGCACTCTGTACAGCAGCCGGGTTATCATATCATCACTATGACCAAACATGGCAATAACATAATTACAGTGTGAGCAAAACAGTAATGAATGGCCTCCATTCATGTCAGCTTGCCTGCTGTTGTAATGCTGTGAGTGGTCCACAGCTGTCACATGGTACCTGGCGCCCTGATTAGCTTCAGAAAACTCATCATCATGCCTCTTACTAAATACCTTGGACTGTCTCCAAAAAGGGGTTATTTGGGGGCATCTGTACTGTCCTGGTATTTTAAAGGCCTCAAGTAATGAGATAGACTGTCATTATATCAGAATTGATCAGTTTTCAAATATATATATATATATATATATATATATATATATATATATATATATATTAATAACTATGCAGCTAAATAAAAAATAAATACTTTTTTTAAAACTATTATATGCAAGGTTTTTAATTGATAATTAACAAAAAAAAGAGTCAATTTCAAATATCATTTATTACTTAATGAAAGGCCAATTTGTCTTGATTTAGAAAGTTTTACTAACTCCAGTCCAAGTTGCAAAATTGTGTTCAGGCATTAGGATTTGTTTTAACTTCCTCATAAAGGGGTTAATTCAAATCATTGCACCTGAACGCACTAGGTGTGAAGGAGCCCTAGTATCCTGAATTTGATATGAGGTAGTCCTTTCACTGAACAGAGGTTTAAAGGACAGTTCTAGCAATCTAAAAGCATGCTCAGAAGTAAAACCGTGAATTCTGGGCAGTGTACGCCTGCCCTATGACGTGCCTAACTCAATTGTACCCACCTTCAAGTCATATGAAAAATAAGATAATCTTTCATACCCTTTTGACTTGCATAGCAGCCCATTTTCTTGTCATTTGTGGAAAATTGGAAACCAAAAAGATCTGAATGCCTATATAAATTTATGGTTTCAAAGTAATTTTAAGTTCGTATGAAGAATTCTTTGTCTTAATATTGCTATAATCACATAATAGTTATGATATATTAGACCAGGGGTCTCCAAACTTTCTAAACAAATGGCCAGTTTACTGTCCTTCAGACTTTAGGGGGGCCGGTGTTTGGCCATTGGCAGTTGAAATTGTCTTGGTGTCAGTGGGAGTAAACAATGCATCTTTGGTATTAGGGGAGGAATAGTACCCCATTGCTGGTGTCAATGGGAGGAATAGTGCCCTATCGTTGGTGTCAGTTTGAGTGCTTCATCAGTGGTGTCAGTGGGAGGAATAGTGCCCTGTTGTTGGTGTCAGTGGTAGAAATAGGGCGTCAATTGTTGGTGTCAGTGGGCCCCATTGTTGTCAGTAGCAGGAATTATGCCCTATTGTTGGTATCAGAAGGAGAAATAGTGTCTTTTATCAGTGGGATGAAAAGTGCCTCAGGGGCCGAATAAAGGCAAGCATAGTGCCACAGTTTGGAGACCACTGTATTCGGCAAAAGGTCTTTTATTCCTGTGCCTAGTTTAAAAGGTGTACCAGTTCATATTTTTCCTATGGTAAATGTTTAATATTGGTTGGAATTGGCCTATAAAGTAAGAGCAAGAGCATATTATAATAAAAAAAGCAGTCATGCAGAGCAAATAATAGATGGGGGCAGGGAGGGGTGATTGGCTCCTCTGCCTCATTCAGCTGAAATTTTTTTTTTCTTTTCTCTTTTTAAGCAGTTTAAGAAAATTAGCCTAAAGTTGGTACACACTGTCAGCTTTTTTTTTTTCTGCCATTGGCTTAAACAAAAACAAAAAATTTACATTCCCTTTACTACAAAAAACATAATATGCACATTAGGGGCTCTCTCTTGGCCTATGTGCTCACCATGAGTGTGACCTCCCAAGCCCATTTTGTCATACTCGGCATATGAACATGAATCTGTCAGGCAAATATGAAATATAGCAAAGCTGAATGCTGGTACTATAGTGTAATAAATAGTGTCTGGCTTTTTTTTTTCTGGATGATAGCTAAAAAGAGTGGGAAATTTGAGTGGAGAGGGAAAAAATAGATTTATTTTTTGATTGTTGGTGCTTGTAGTTTTTATTTTCTTTGTTGGGTCTTGCTAAAAGCTTTTACTTTTTTAAATAACCTTTTCTGTCACTTTTTAAATAGCATGTTTTTTTTCTTCCTTTCCTGGTCTTCCTTCAGTCTGCTAATTAAAAGGAGGGGTTAATTGGTCACAGGTGATACAAGTCCCATATAACTTGCTGTAGAGCTCACTTTGAGCTTGCCTGTAATTTGCTTGCTGGACCTTTGACTAAGTGGACATTTGATAAGTAGAGTTAAAAAACCGGAGTGGAAAACAGGAGATTATAACAGGAGTCTAATAGGAATTTACTAACTTGTAAGTGACAACTGATATTTCCTATTAATATTGTAACTGGTGATAATGTGTGCTAGCAGGGTGGAAGGTTTTGTGCAGTGCACAGGGTGCCGCATGTATGGAGCAACAGCTCCAGGATGGATACCACTGCGACAGATGTGAGCGGGTTGCCCTTCTGGAAATTCGCGTTAGAGATCTGGAGGAGCAAGTTGCAACACTAGGCAGAACCGACGACCGTGAAAGGGGTCTTCTGCTCTCTGAGCAGGTAGCAAATGGGATTGATGTGGAGAGCGGAGGGGCTAATCAGGATTACCAGGTAGGAAGATGGGTTACTGTAATGAGAGGGAATGGTATGGGCTCACAGTAAAGGAAGGCCGGCCCTGGGTTTGTGCACCCAAACAGATTTGCCAAGTAGGGTGAAGATGTGGGGGTGGAAAGCTCATGGCTGGCAACCCTTGATGTCACTGCTATCACTAGCAATCGGGAGGGCAGACCATCTGAGAGGGGTGGTGAAGGTAGCACAAGAAGGCCTAGACAGCTGGTGGTAGTAGGGGATTCTATAATCAGAAGGACTGAGAGAATAATTTTTCGCCAGGATCGCCTCAACTGAATGGTTTGCTGTCTCCCTGGTGACAGTGATAATAATGGGGGATTTTAACTACCCAGAAATTGACTGGAGTAATGGTACTGCAGGAATAGTTAAAGGGCAAAAAATGTTAAACCTACTACAGGACACTTTTATGGTACAGTTCATAGAGGCCCCAACTAGGAATGATGCTCTGCTGAATCTGGTAATCTCAAACCATACAGAGCGTATTACGAATGTCCATATAAAAGAACATCTGGGTAGCAGTGACAATAACATGATTTCATTTATTGTTACCCGTAAACGGCAGACACATACGGGAAAAATAAAAACACTCAATTTTAAGAGAGCTAATTTTCCAAGGCTGAGAGCTGCTCTCCAAGACTTAGACTGGTAAGCAATATTGGCATCAATGAACACAACACAGCAATGGGAGTTCTTCAAAAAAACTGTATGTGAACAACTGCAAAATATGTTCCCATGGGCAACAAGTTTAAAAGGCTAAAAATCAAACCTATGTGGCTTACGGCCAAAGTTAAAAAATCTATAAATAATAAGAAAAGATCTTTTATTAAGTATAAAAAAAAAAGAACGCTATAATCGTTTAAACATTACAAAGAATATAACAGAATATGCAAAAAGGAAATAAAAGATGCAAACAGGAAATAAAGGACGCAAAAATTTAAAACTAACGACAGATTGCAAAAGATAGCAGGACCAACCCCAAAAAATTCTTCAAGTATATTAATAATAACAAGGTCCGGTCCGAGCATGTAGGCCCCTTACAAAATAATCTAGAGTGGGTGACTGGGGACAAAGAGAAGGCAAATTTATTAAATGCCTTCTTCAGCTCTGTATATACAAAGGAGCATGGAGGAGCTCTTGTCCATAATGAGCATGGTATTGACACAGCTCCAGATGATCCACATTGGCTCACAATTGATATGATCCAAAAATATTTAGACAGAAAAAAGGTGAATAAAGCACCTGGACCGGATGGCATACACCCACGGGTCCTTAAAGAATTGAGCTCTGTCATTTCAAAGCCATTGTTTCTAAATTTTAGGGACTCTTTAATGACTGGCATAGTATCACTATATTGGCTTAAGGCCAGGTGGTGCCAATATTTAAAAAGGGTCAAAATCTTTACCAAGTAATTACAAACCTGTTTAACTTCTAAAGTTGGGAAGATACTGGAGAGTTTAACAAAAGACCACATAGATAAGTTCTTGCTGCAAAAAAATATTTTAAGCAACAGACGACATGGATTCATGAAAGACAGAACTTGTCAAACAAATATGATTTTTTTTTTATGAGGAGGTGAGCACAACCTTGGACAGAGAGGTGGCGGTGGACGTGGTATACTTGGATTTTGCAAAAGCGTTTGACACAGTTCCCCACACACGGCTAATGTGTAAGGTAAAGTCTACAGGCTTGGAAAAATCCGTATGTGAATGAATAGAAAACTGACTAAAAGATTCAGAGAGTAGTGGTTAATGATTCAAACTCTGAATGGTCTAGGGTTGTCAGTGGTGTA